ATTCTCCTTATAAGCCCTCCCTTTGTTCAAAGTTAAAGACATGAAATCAATTGGAAGACAACGCCTGTTTCAGACACCAGTGGAAGCTAGTCTTCTGCAAAGCAAGTAATTAGAATATATATTGGGTGGACTAGAATCTCTCTCACTTGGTAAGACCATGATTTATAGCATAAGGTCGGTCACAAGGCAAATCACTTGTTCTTTATACACAAGGTACAAGGGCCAAGGCTTGGTGCTTCCAGCTTAAAGGATCAGATAACAGGTGATCCATGAAGCTACGCTGCCTTGAATCTGAGCCATACTTAGAGAAGAGACTACCAAGGAATGCCAGGAATTTCCTGTTAGGGCTAGAATAAAATCCATACATCCCTTTATTTATATCCAGCTTTTCTTCCAGACCAAGAGTCTATGTGGCTTACAATAAAACATATACAACCTCCCTGCATATTTGTGGGTTCAACTTTTGCAGATTTGATTATTCACGGATTTGATTAATATGGTTTCTCTGGGAATCTGAGGTCAACTTCTGGCAGGTCAAATAAAGTCACACTGGAGCACCTAGAGATTTTTTTAAAGGGAACTCCTCTCAAGTTAAAAAAAGTATGTTTTAACTGGGTTGTTGTAGGTTTTTTTTGGGCTATATGGCCAGTGGTTCTCAACCTTCCTAATGCTGCAACCCCTTAATACAGTTCCTCATGTTGTGGTGACCCCCAACCATAACCCTAACATTATGAATAACCATAACCGTAAATAATGAGCTGCAGGATGTATTTTCATTTACTGGAGCAAATTTGGCACAAATACCCGGTATGCCCAAATTTGAATACTGGTGGGGTTGGTGGGGAAATTGCTTCTGTCATTTGAGAGTTGTAGTTGCTGGGATTTATAGTTAACATGTAAACAAACAGCATTCTGAACCCCACCAACAATGGAATTGAACCAAAGTTGGCACAGAGAACTCCCATGATCAACAGAAAATACTGGAAGGGTTTGGTGGGCATTGACCTTGAGTTTGGGAGTTGTAGTTTGCCTACATCCAGAGAGCACTGTGGGCTCAAACAATGATGGATCTGGACCAAACTTGGCATGGATACTCAATATGCCCAAATGTGAACACTGATGGGGTTTGGGGAAAATAGACTTTGACATTTGGGAGTTGTAGATACTGGGATTTATAGTTCACCTACAATCAAAGAGCATTCTGAACCCCACCAACGATAGAATTGGGCCAAACTTCCCACACAGTACCCCATGACCAACAGAAAATACTGTGTTTTCTGATGGTCTTTGGCGACCCCTCTGACACCCCTTTGCGACCCCCTCAGGGGTCCCGACCCCCAGGGTTGAGAAACACTGCTCTAGACCATGGCCATATAGCCCGAAAAAACCTACAACAACCCAGTGATTCTGGCCATGAAAGCCTTCGAAAATACATATCTTTTAATTCATGATCTTTCAAGAATCCTGCATGCATAATCCTAGTAAATGTGGAGTACCAACTGTGTAGCTATAATCATACAAAACTGAGATGGAAACAGCATAAAACAACAGAATTATAATAATTTAAAATCTAACTTTAATACAGTAACTAGAAACAGCACGTCACCAAATAGTCCTTTTGTTAAAACATCAGTTCTCAAAAGCTCTCTTGGAGAAGAAAGATCTTAACCTGCTTTTGAAAGGAAAACTAAAAAGGAGTCTTTTAGTTTCCATAGGAAGGTAGTTCCAAAGTATGGAAGCATCCATGGAGAAGACCTTCTCCATTATTCCCATCAACTATATCTATGAGGTAAAGGTTTTCCCTTGACATTAAGTCCAGTCATGTCCAACTTTGGGGGGTGGTGCTCATCTCCATTTCTAAGCCGAAGAGCTGGCTTTGTCCGCAGACACCTCCAAGTTCATGTGGCCAGCATGAATGCATGGAGTACCGTTACCTCCATGCAAATCCTCCCACCAAAATCCCTCCTCCTGCTGTGATTGGCCAGCCTCTCAGCCAAGGGGAGGGCTGTTTCTGAGACTCCAAGTGGGGCAGGCAGAGCAGGCACTCTCTCCCTTAAATCACCATCAATTCCTCCCAAATCCCTCCAATATTTTATGTTACTCATGGGGAGTTCTGTGTGGGATGTTTGACCCAATTCTATCATCGGCAGGCTTCAGAATGTTCTTTGATTGTAGGTGAACTATAAATCCCAGCAACTACAACTCCCAAATGACAAAATCAATCCCTCCCAACCTCACCAGTATTCAAAATTGGGCATATTGGGTATTTGTGCCCAATTTGCTCCAGTGAATGAAAATACAATCTGCATATCAGATATTTACATGATGATTCATAACAGTAGCAAAATTACAGTTATGAAGTATCAACAAAAATAATTTTATGGTTGGGGGTCACCACAACATGATGAACTGTATTAAGGGGTCACGGCATTAGGAAAGTTGAGAACCACTGGGCTAGATGAAACAATGGTCTGGCTCAGTGTAGCCAGCTTCCTATGTGATGGAGATGAACTTCTTCTTGAAAGCCAAGTGAGCCACTTCCAATACAACTATAAAAAATATTGGGCATCTTGGATAGATAATTCCACCAGTTGGTGGGAGAGCAGCGTCAAACAAAGGCACGAGGATCTATGTTTTTCACTAGTACAATGTCGGAGTTTGTGCCTTGACCCAGTTTGTAGAGGATTCCATACGAATGATCCATAAGCTGTGTGTGCGCGCGGGTACATATAAGCTCTTGCAAAGGCAAATGCATCAAAAGCTGAATTAAGTCACTTTCCACACAGACACACACATATGCATCTATATTTCTGCCATAGTCAGTGACTTAAAATGTGACAGGCATATTTGCATACTGAGAAGCTTTCTTTGGGTTTTCTTTCCCTCCAGTTGGATGATCCTGTCTGGTGGAGATATATTGGCGGGTCCCAAAATAGCTTTGTACACTGTTCCACCTAAATACCTGGTCTCTCGCTCACAGACATTCAGACACACAGAGATGCTTTCCTGTTCCATTTTCCTCTTTTCTGTGGGCATGTGAGGCCCCCTTCCTTATTCTAGATGAAAAATAATCTTTTTAAGAGTCTTACATTCTGACCTACAATACCTAGATATCTAAAAAGAGAGAATCAGAGGCAGCATAGTGAAATAGGAAGCAATCTGATGAAACACCTGAGCCGCTGTGCATTACTTTCTCGAACTGTCACAAGGCTGTTAGAGTGGGAAGCAGAGGCATTGCTTCAGCAGTGAGTTCAGATGTCTTTGGTGCTTGCTCTTCTGAAGTATGTCTGTTCCAGCTGGGCATTAGAAGATCATCTGGCTAACTTGGATGGCCAAGTTGGCCTTCTTTCCCTCTTCATCCCCCCTTTTTTTTGGTGTTGTGTGAACCCATCTAATCTTGAAAGCTAAGCAGGGTCAACTTTGGTTTGGAGACTACAATGAATACCATGTGCTGTAAGCTATATTTCAGAAGAAGGAACTGGAGGAATGACCTCTTGCCTAAGAAAATCCTATGAAATCCATGGGGTCACCATGAGTCAAGAGGTGTCTTGAATAATAATAATAATATAATAACTTTATTTCTGTACCCTGCCTCCATCTACCTGGAGGGCCTCAGGGTGGCTTACATGGGGACACGCCCGATCATAGTTAAAATATAACACACTAAAATACATAAACAACAGAATGAAATACATAAATAGAATAAAATAATGACATTATGACAGAATATAAAAGCAACCATCGAACCAACAACCATTGGACCTGAATTAATCAGTTTCTGGGCAAAGGTGGGCAGACTGGTGCAAATCAGCTGTGAGGATAGGGCTGGTGGATAAAGTGCATAAGTCAAATGGGAAAATTAGGGCTAGAGGGGAATGTAAAATAGAGAATTATATCTTTGGGTAGAGAACAATTGTAAAGTTCAAGGGCAAGATTTTGGGTCACAGCTGGGACCAAATTGTCTGGGAATTGTCTAGTCAAAAGCACAGTGGAACATCCAGGAGCCCCCGGTGGCGCAGTGGGTTAAACCCCTGTGCCGGCAGGACTGAAGTCCGACAGGTTGCAGGTTGGAATCCGGGGAGAGGAGGATGAGCTCCCTCTATCAGCTCCAGCTCCTCATGCGGGGACATGAGAGAGGCCTCCCACAAGGATGATAAAACATCAAATCATCTGGGCGCCCCCTGGGCAACGTCCTTACAGATGGCCAATTCTCTCACACTAGAAGTGACTTGCAGTTTCTCAGGTCGCTCTTGACACAACAACAAAAAAAGTGGAACATCCATGTTTTTAGATCTTTATGAAAGGTGGAAAGGGTGGTGCTAGTCTAATCTCCCTGAGGAGGGAGTTCCAGAGCCAGGAGGCCACCACCAACAAGGCCCTCTATCTCGTCCCCACCAACTGTGCTTGTGACAGGGTGGGAGTGAGAGGAGAGCCTACCCAGAAGGTCTTAGAGATTGTGCAGGTTCATAGGGGAAGATGCGATCACGAAGATAGGCAGGTCCCAAACCGTTTAGGGCTTCGCCTTGAATTGAGACCAGAAACTTATCAGCAGCCAGTGGAGCTGTTTGAACAGGGTGAATGAATATGACTTGTAGTGACTGTTCGTGTTCTCAAACAAGCATATCTTTCTATCATTTGTTACTAACCCCCCCCCCTTTTCTTTTTTTTTCTTTTTTTTGGGAGGAGATGAAAGAAATAGAACTTTCTGCATGCAAAGTATGTATCCCAAATATCTGCCTTGCAGGGATATTTTAAAAAGTTCCTGAGAGAATAAATGAGCAGCTTGAAAGACCATCACACAAATATTAGGCATGAATAGCATACAACTTGTAAGTTAACAAAAGTACTCTTCAGACTGTTATTTCTAGCCATTAGCCTTAAAAGAGGATGGTGTGTTAAATGTCTTTCAAAGTGTACTTTCTAGTTGCCATTAGTAACTGGATGCTTATATGAGCTGAAGTAGTTACATGAACATTTTTGTGTTGTTTTTGCCATAATAGATCAGATGTCAGCCGAGAAGATTCAAGCAGAAGAAAGAGCTTAAATCTACCTCTTCCGGATGCTGCAAGGTAGGTGTACAATTTGTTTGGGCAAGCAGCTTGAGGAGCTCCTTCTTTGGCCTTTGCAATCCTTTTGAGGGCTGCTCAAATTGCCAAAACTGCCATTAAAAAAATCAGCGTAAATAGCTGGATTTGGGAAATGAGTGCAACAGTAGTTGCAGAATGTAGCAAAGGAACTGCAATTGCTTGCAAAGGGCAATTGCTGCTCCCAGAAACTTCCCAGAGAGATAATTAGGATGTAAATATTTAAAAATCTTGTTCTTGCAAGGAAGACCAAAGAACTTTACCAAGTTTTGTTCTTTTGGGAAATGATGTCATAACCTTTTGGGGGGAAAAATGGCATCCAGAACTATTTGGGAACTCTTTTAAGTCAACCTTCTTCTTAGTGGTAAATATCCAGTTGTATTCATGCAAGGCAATTAGGTTTCTCAGCTGTTAAACTGATATACCTAGATCTCTTGGAATGGTTAGGAACAAACATATGCCAATGCACAAAAACCCACAAATATATACCCAAGTTTCCAAAGTGTTCTTTCAGTTGCTCAAAAACAGCTTTCTTTTAAATTGTGCTCTCAAGAGACCAAAATAAGTGGACTTCTTTAAAAGTTACATAGTTGGTTTACTCACAAACTTGATGTATTCAGCATACAGGTACATTGCATATCAACCCAGTTACAGATAGGATTTGAAGTAGTTTCTCAGTGCAGATAACACAGAACATCATTCTTAGAATTTTTTTTGTCATGTCAGGAGTGACTTGAGAAACTGCAAGTCGCTTCTGGTGTGAGAGAATTGGCTGTCTGCAAGGACGTTGCCCAGGGGATGCCTGGATGTTTTTGATGCGTTACCATCCTTGTGGGAGGTTTCTTTCATGTCCCCGCATGGGGAGCTGGAGCTGATAGAGGGAGCTCATCCGCGCTCTCCCTGGGATTCGAACCTGTGACCTGTCGGTCTTCAGTCCTGCCAGCACAAGGGTTTAACCCACTGTGCCACCGGGGGCTCCTTTTTCTTAGAATCAATAGCACAAAGTCCAAAGAGTCTAATGGAGTCTGTTCTCTAAAGCATCCTGTTTCTACTGACTTCTAAAAGCATACTGTTTCCACAGTCTTCTGTTAAGCATACTGCTTCTAAAATGGAATTTGAGTCCTGAATAGTCCTAGATCTGACAACATGGTCTGCAGCCCTCTGACATCATAGAATTAAAAAAACCCTGCATACCAATATACACATATACAACACAGTAAGCAAGCTGAATGATATACATAACAAATAACTATTGGAGGCTTGAAGAAGGTTGCTATTTCCAACATGTTTTCACTGTTCACAACTGCTCTGTTTTCCAAAGCTCAAGGCTTATGTTGCATTGAAAAACTTCACATGTGGTCCATTAATGCTGAGAATGATATTATGTATACAAAAAGCATGTTTCCTGCACAGAAGAAATGCTGGGATTTTCTGCAGGAAACTTGCTTTCTGCACAAAAAGTACTTTCTGTGCAAAAACCTTTCCTGCTCAGAAATATCGTTTTGTTGCAGATTTTTTTTCCTGTGTATAATTTCTTTCTGCACAGAAATGTGTTTTCTATGTTATAAATGTGCAGTAAACAACCTCCACAAATCTTTCAGGCAGAATCGTAAGGATTTTTGTTATTAGGGTATGTTTCCTAACTATTGAGAACCTCATTTTAGGGCCATTAAAAAAAGAATTATTTCTGGGTTGTTGTAGGTTTTTTCGGGTTATATGGCTATGTTCTAGAGGCATTTTCTCCTGACATTTCGCCTGCATCTATGGCAAGCATCCTCAGAAGTAGTGAGGTCTATTGGAACCTGGAAAAAGGGTTTATATACCTGTGGAATGACCAGGGTGGGACAAAGGACTCTTGCCTGTTGGAGCTAGGTGTGAATGTTTCAACTAATCACCTTGATTAGCATTTGATGGCCTGGCAGAGCCTGGAGCAATCTTTTGTTGAGAGGTGATTAGTAGTCCTTGTTTGTTTCCTCCCTACAACAACCCAGTGATTCTGGCCATGAAAACCTTCGACAATACACAGAATTATTTCTATCACTTGTGGCAATTCCACCTTCTTTCTTCATTCCCTTCTTTCTTTCCTTTCTTTCTCCTTCCTTCCTTCCTTCATTCCTTTTTTTATGACAAAAATAATTATCCAGAAGAGACTGATGGTTGTAAAAATTGCTTTGGATTGAGGCCTTTGTGGATGTTAAAGTTGCAGATTGCCTACCCCTAAAATACTGTATATGTTTATGACATTGCAAGTGACACAAAAAACCAGGCTCAATATATTCTTGCAAAGTCCTATGAGTGACATAAAGTATGGTAGCCACTTGGCTTGTAATGGAAATCCTGCTTTTCTTTCCTTAGAGTTGCACTAATTCCTGCTTTTCTTTCCTTAGAGTTGCACTAAGGTCTATAAAAGGCCACTTTCAAAGGGTTGTGGTTCATTACTAGGCATTTTTGGTATGTCAAACGGATACATTCTCTTTCGGTCTCTCTTCTGTGGCCGTTTTCTGCATTAACAGCATCATTATTCCATTTGGACAGAACAGAGATGAGGCGAGCTATACAGGACACACACAATGCTGCATGTTTTGTCAACAACATGCCCATAAGCCAGGCTTTTGTGTACTTTTTGTTCAGCAAAGACAAATAAAGAAATGATTTCTGCTTATTCCAGCCAGTTTGAAAGAGTCTGGATTTTCAGAAAAAGAACTTTTAAGCATGGTAGCATTCAAGGCTGCCAAAATCCAGCTTTGTATTTCATACAATATTCAGTATGTTTGTATGGGGATGGAAAGTAGGCATTTGAAAACAATGGGTGCTTTTGAAAATCAGAAAACCTTTGACTGTATTTTTTAAAAGCTAGATACCTTCCTTTGATGTTTCCTTTGCTTTTCTTGGTTTATATGGAATTATTATATGCCGAGCTAGACCAAAAGCCTTTCCAGCCATGTATTCTATCTCTCCTGGATCTCTAAAATGTAAAAGTCTTAAATGGAAAGATTATGCAGTTTTCTGCTGGTATGAGTGGAAAGTCCAGTAGTACTTGCACCATAGGAGAAACCGACACAAATGCAAACCCTCCAACTCTCTTTATTTAACTCCTGGGATGGCATGGGACCACTCAACCCCCCACCCAAAAAGCCCTTAAAAGGAGAAATAGCTTAATGGGTTGCCATTAAGATGCTTCTGGAGTTCTCCTGGTGTGTCGAAATGACGCACCAAGAGATGGAAGGGGAAAGGAGAGCAATTGCATTTAAGTCATGTGTGGAAGCATCCTTAGTATTGTTGCATCCCAGATCAAGAAACGAGACCATAAGATTAAATCCACCACACTGGTCTGTAGGAAAAACAATCCTTTTTTATTGATGAAAAATTGGTTACAAAAGAAAGTTAAATGCAAAGTCAAAAAGCCACCATAGAAACACAGCAGTCAGGAAAATCTCTGAACTTGAGCAAAAATCCAAAAATCCACAATACAAGAACCAGGAACCTGTTAGCCTCTTGCTAACCATGTACTTGAAAACTAGAAGCCTCTGGGATTACCGGCCATGGAACACAGGAATTCTGCCAAGGCACAGCCACAGTCCCAAACGTTGCTTGATCTGAGGAGGCACCCAGCAGGCGGCCCCTTAACCCAAAGAAACTATTCTTTGAAACGCCCCTTGACTTTGAAGCCTGTCTCTCCTGTAATCTACTTGACCTTCATAGGAACTGTGAATCACTCCTGTCTCTCGTTATCTGTTCCCTTCGGTTCTCATTAACAAACCCAGGTGGAGAGCTATCACGGCTGGATTCCAAAACATTTTCATCCAGCTGTTCAGTTTCGTTTTCCCCATCAACACCAGTTTCCACATTGTCAGGGAAAACTACTTGTTCAGTAGCTTGCTCAGGTGGAAATACTATCAGAGAATCAGGTTCACACAGATCAGGATCAGGTTCACACAGCTCAGGCTGAACCCCAAGTATGCTCAAGCAAAGGCAAAATGTTACAGTTTGTGTCTTCTTCTCCCAGCTTGTGTCTTCTTCACCATAAACAAACTTCTGCACTTTTGCCACACATTGATGTTGCATGCCACATATGTCTATCTGTAAAATACAACAACAACAACAACAACAACAACAATGACTCCGGTCCAGCGTACCTGTCCGAACGTATCTCCTTCTACGTCTGGAGGGGCCCTGCTCTCGGCCCCGCCCTTGTCATAAACGAGACTGGCGGGGATGAGGGACAGGGCCTTCTCGGTGGTGGCTCCCACCTGTGGAATTCACTTCCCGGGGAAATTAGATCATCATCATCCCTCCTCTCTTTTAGAAGGAAATTAAAAACATGGATATGGGACCAGGCATTTGGGTAATCTGGCAGATTGACAAGGACAATGACGACAAGAGCTTTGGAAATGGATTATGATAAGCTGAATGGCCCACTAAATATGGAACTTGGCGAAATGATGGCCACTAAGTTGGCTTTTTATGAGATTTTATTGTAATAATTTTATGGTTAATTATTTATAATTATTGTTATGTATTTTTGTTTAACTGTAGGCATCGAATTGTGCTGGCTGGAAGCCGCCCTGAGTCCTCCCTAGGGGGTTGAGAAGGGCGGGGTAGAAATGCGCAAAATAAATAATAAAATAAATAAAAAACAACAACAACTTTATTTACATCCTGCCCCATATCCCCAAGGGGACTCAGTGTGGATATATAAGTATATGAACTATTGACAGATACCACACAGCATTTTTCTATGAATTTGAAAAGGGACATGTTAAGCATTAATATGGAGCACTGCCTGAGAACTGAACTAAATTTCACCAGGCAGCTATGCATTCCAGAGATAAGAAAGGTTCCCAGCCGAAAGTATGTAAACTTAATTGGACTAAAGGCCCTTCACCCCATTGTGTGGAAGGCTCTCCTTTGTTTAAATATTCTGGTTGATTCTCGATGGGTTAGAAAAAAGGTTTTGATTGTGGTGTTTTTCCCCTGGGGAAGGG